TCCTCCACCGCCACCACGTTTTCCATCGTCAGCTTCAGCATTAAATGGAAGCAGCACGAGCAACACTACGTTTTGTTCAAATGTTCCACCATCTAATTATTCACCAATGTATAATGTTCCTGCTTATCTACCTCAGCTGCCACAACCACCTCCTGGAGCGTCCATAGCAAACTTAACTGAGCTTAACCGTAGTTCCGATACCAAGGATTATCGCGTCCATCTAGCGCCTATAAATCCGGTGCTTCCAAAAGCATCATCTCTATCGAAAGCTTCATTTAGTTTTACAAATGATCGACAAGAATCGAGCAGTGAAGACTCGCGTAGGATGCAAACTAGCTCTAGTTATCGTAACCGTAATCAGATACTGAGATCACCTATGGCATATATGGGAGGTGATCAACGTGGAGGTGGAGGTAGCAGAGGTGGTAGGGGTGCTAAAACTAGCAGCATAAGTTCTCAATCGGAAAGGATGGACGAATCGAATTTTGAACAGACCGAAGAATTAATTGCAAGACCTCTGGAAACAATATATACAAATTCTGCCGCATCTGCACAATTTTATGATGTAGGTGTCAACAAGTTCACATTAAAATCATTTACTAAAATTTTTGCTTGTTTTAGATGGAACCAGACGTCGACAATGATAGATCAGTTCAAGAATCAATATCTAATACACTCCTGAATGAAATACCTTCATTTGCTGGAAAGAGATCTAAAAAAAAAAAGTATAACACTTACATGACATTTGATAGTTGTACAAATTAGAACAAATATATTGAATTTATTTTAGATTACCATTGAATAGCAATCGTGAAACTAGGGTTACTCAGATGCAAGATCTTCTACTACTCGATGTTACTCCACTTAGTTTAGGTATTGAAGATGTCAATGGTCAAATGTGTATCATAATCCCTCGTAATTCAACAATTCCACGAAAAGCTCAGTTGGATTCCGTATTTACTAATGCTTATGCTTATCAAACAACAGCTACAATTCGTATTTTTCGAGGCGAACATAAATCAACAAAATATAATGTAAACTAAGAATAATATTATCATATAATTGTTTTAATTTATTATTTCTTTAGATCTTTCTTGGTGAATTTCTTCTTACTAATTTAACATCAAATTTTACATCAAAAGCATTAGAAATATCTATTTCTATGGATCTTGATGCTAATGGTTTTTTAATAGTGAATGCTGAAGAATCACGATCAGGTGCTAAAGCTATGATTACAATCAATCCACAAGATCGTAAGATTATTATTATTATAAAAATTTTAATTTCATCTATCGATTTTAATATATTGTAGATCACCTTACTCCAGATGATATCGAACGGCATCTCCAATATGTACGAAGTAATCCAGATTATCAAGCTATAACTATTGACAATCAACAAATGAATAATTCTTTATATATGGTTTGTAAAATTTCTAAAATAATCTTTTGTAATACATTTATCTTTTTAGCTTAAAGGTGATACTGAAAATCGAAAAATAAATTTTTCAGGTGAAATTGAAATTTCAAAAGACTTTCCAATATTTCCTAAGTTTAAAACTATTTCATTAACTTCAACAATAATGAATGAATTAAAAAGAATTCAATTATCAAATGGATCATTTAATATCAATGAAGATTTTGTTAAATTATTATCGATAGATATGAAGAATTTTGATGAACTTAAAGAATATTTATATAAACAAGGTTTTAATTCATTTGGTAAGATTAAATATAAAGAATATTTAGAAATAAATTATTTTCTTTTTTAGCATTAAATACACAAAATGATATAATTCATTTGATTGCTACGGGTATAATTCTATTAGAATTTTTATTACAAGTTCCATTATCAGAAAGAAACGAACTTTTGATTCCATTTTATAGTGAACAAATTCGAGTAAGAAATTATATTGGATTTATTGAATTTATTCTGAATTTTTGTTTTTCTTAAGTCACTTCTTCATCGTCATTTACCAAAACCGTTATTGGAAAATGCTGATAAAGCAATTGATTTTTATGCACAAAAACGTTTATCTTATGGAATTTATTGTCAACAATTAGAATTGAAATATTCATCATGGGAAAAATTAATTCAATATGGAATTTTTAATATTGAAAATTAATTTAATTGACTATTTTATTTTAATCATGAAATGAACTACAGAAATACTTTTCATTTTTGCTAATAAATTCCTTGAATAAATGAAATTTTTTCTATTAATATTAAATAGTTTTAGTTGTTAAACAAAAATATAAGTACGCATTCATCAGTTTGGGTACTATATTATATTTATTTGCTGTTATCGAGGGTTAAAAATAAGGTCGATTTAGGAACGAATGTAGTAATAGATATCAGTAAAGTGTAACAGATGCTTCACTCTTCTGTGTAAAAACGAATATAGATATATCTATATTTCTCTCGTTCTCTTTTGATGATTACAAATTCCTAGGTCTGAATAAAACCGAGATTTAATAATACGAAATTGAAAAAGTATATTTTCATTCTATTTAATAATAAGTGATATCATGAATAGAAAACTTTCGAGGCTCATCCAACCATATATCGCCATCACGACATGTTTTCATTCTTTCTCTCTTAGAAGAAGAATAAAAAACAGCTAGTAATCGTTAGAAAGAACGATTGGTATTTGATGTTCTCCTTCTATGTTTTTCTATTATTAGCGATAGCTCGGTATATAAAAGGAGGTGTGACTATCTTATTTCAGTACCTCATTCTTTCATATCTACAAAGCATCACTTTTCGTCGATTCAGTAAGTAATCATTTGATTTTATTTAGATTTTCCATATATATTTCTATTTAATTTAGAATATAATGTCAGCTTCCGCCGGTATTCGTAAACTTATTGGTTCATGGGAATACGTTGATGGTGAACATTTTGATGATTATATGAAAGAAATTGGTGTTGGTTTCGCTCTTCGTCAATCAGCTAAATTAATTAAACCAAAATTAGTCATTAGCGAAAATGGAGATAAATGGACATTTAAAAGTGAATCAACACTTAAATCTGGATCATATGAATTTACACCAGGTGTAGAATTCGACGAAACCCGTCTCGATGGTGAAAGTGTTAAAGTTAGTTAAATTAAATTTTAAATATATTTTTTTCTAAATTTTTATTTATTTAAATAATAGTCAACAATCCGATTCGAAGGTGATAAATGGGTACACACAATGCGCGATAAAAATAACAAAGAATCAACAGTTACACGTTGGGTTGATGCTCAAGATCAACATCAAATTGTATGTTTTAACAATGATTTTATTTTCAAAAAAACTATTTTCTTTTATTTGTTAGGATATGAAAGCTGGTGATGTTACAGCTCGTCGTTGGTACAAACGTGCTGATTAAATGATTTCATTTCTAATCATCACACACGCGTTTTAACAACTGAAAAAAAAATCATCATCTGATTCTTTTCTCGCTTTTATCTTTAGTCGTTTTTCATATATATATCCATTTTTATACAACCGTAAAAAAGAAAATATCAACAGTTATATCTTGTTGATGTTATAATATTTTCTTTTTTTTTGTATACGTGTGTGAGTGTATTTGGTTTTCACAAAAAAAAACAAAAAATACAATAAACATAAAAAAACTATTATAAAATTTATTTCTTATTATAAATATTGGCTAGAATTCGAAATTTACAAGAAGAAAACGTGATCTTATTTGAATTATTTATCATAGAATGAAGGATAAACACATTCCGAACAGAAGAAAAAAAAGTATCTTTAACATGTGTCCACTTAAATTTTAGAGAAGAATAAAGACATGTTTTCGATAACTAGAATCACTGATTTCGTGAAATTTTCAATGATACTAAAATTCTTCAGAGTATCTTTTATAAGTGTATATAGCATTAGATGCGCATAGATTGTCCGTAAACGGTAATAAATCGATAAAAAATACTGACTGATATTTATATAGAGATATAAGTTATTGTTAACAAAATTATTTATCTATATCGTGTAATAAACAATATTCCGATTTGTGTTTAATACGATATCACTGCGAGATTTTGGAAAATAAATCTAATAGAATACATCGTACTATGACTAATTTTTTCTTATGCGTAAAATGATCGAGTATGGTATATATTTCTAATACGAACGAAGAACGATTTGAATTCACACTATATTTATCTTACCGTAATATCCCGTTTTTGATAGCATTTATAGTTTGTATGCAAATCGTAAATGACTTTCTTCCGATTGATCTTAACACTATCAATACAAATCTATTGATAATCATTAGAGCGAAAATTTCTAGTTGAGAAAACCTCTATTGTTTGCACGGAATTGTGGTAATTTGCAGATAATGGAAAAAATATTATTGTGTATATACAAAACATTTTCATGATACAATGGATTTTATATCGAAATTGTGCAATTCATATTCTTTTTACTACATCTGATTATATAAAAAAAAGATCATCTCGGGTTACAAAGTATTTTCGACATTGTTGAAATCGATACAATATGCAAATTATGCACCTTAATGCCCATGGTGAAATATTAGTAAATAGCACTGTGGATTGTCTACACTTTTTTTGTTCTGTTTCATTATAAAAAAAGAAGAAGAAAGAAATGGAAGACCACGATCAAGAACAACAAAAGACGGAAATTATTCAATCTCGAGATTTAGAAACAATTAAAAATGAACAATCATCAGTAAAATCCTTGATTGAATCTATTCTTCTCGAGTCTACCAAACAAGTAGATAATAAAAAAGCACAATACAATAAGAAGATTAAAACTAGTCGTCAGAAAGAACTTGTAATTATATTAAAAAAAACTTCTTGATTCTTTTATTAATATTTTCTAATATAGGAATATTTAACAAATGTAACAAAACCTATACTTACTTCTCCTGAGCAATTGAATATTGCATGTGAAAGGATTAATTCATTATTATTAAATCATAAGACAATATTACTTCCTGCTTGTTATTCACTCGATAAACTTAATTCCGGTCGTGTAACTTATGAACAATTTCGATTAGGTTAATAACAAAAAAACTTGTTTTTTTTAATGATTAATATAATTTTTAGTTATAAGAGATCTATTACCTCAAATGTCAAAAGAAGATTTTTTCATTCTAACAAAATTATTCGAAATTGAAAATTCAGTTGACTATCGAATGATATTCGGTGAAAATTTTAGTGATGGAATTTTACAATTTATTACACCAATATCTGTATTACAACCAGATGAAATGATTCTTGAAAACAAACTTTCAAAATCATTTGATAAAACTTTACAACTAAATCATTCAAAGTAAAATGAAAATATATATGATAAGACAACAAGAAAAGTACTTTTTCTTCTTTATCTATAGATATGTTACTATATATTTTCGTTTGATTACTTTTGATTCTTACAACGCATATCCAGGTCATATTAAACTTACTGTATCTGATCAAACTAGTATCTATGTTCTATCAAAAATGATTATTGAGGAAACACAATTAGCTACACGATTTGTTAGTATATTTCGTGAAAAAGTTTGTTCACATAATACTCTTCTTAAACCTATGTATTCACTAGAATATTATGATTATACTGGTACATATGATAAAATATTTCCAGTTTATACATTATATTATGATTATTCATCAATGGATATATACGATACTTGTCCAATACTTAAATGTGATTATTACATGAAATAAAAATTATGTATGATTTTTCACTATTGACTGTTAGAGTAAATTTAGAACAAAAAAAAGAACTATTACCATGTTAAACGGAAATAGTATTCATTAACATAATGCACAGCTTTTTCCTTTTTTTTTTTGTATTTTCATATGAAATTCATTTAATACATAAACTAATTCATATAAAGTGCCTATTTAACTGAAGGTATCAATAAAAATTATATTGAATGTTTTTGCCGTGAGAAAGAAAAACGTGAAAGGTTAACATAACCGTGTACATAAGTAAAGAGTTACATCAATCGACTTACCGAACAATTTTTTCATTATAAACTTAACCTTAAGATTGATAGAAAATGTACTTATAAATTTTCCCAATGATCTATCGGCTTGAAAAGCAGTTACTTCTCGGTGCATTAGTTGGTGCAATTCGATGAAAATTAAGTTTCCATTTTGTCTAAGATAAAAACTGATTGAAAATTAATCCATTATAATTCCCTATTTTCTTTTTTATCATTAGGATTGAGTATAAAACTGAGGCAGACAGACGGTTACAGCTAGATTATAGTTTTAAAGCATAAAATTAATGTTCAGCTTAAATATGATGATTTAATACTCTTTTTTTTGTTTGTTTTTCATTATCACAACAGAGATAATCATTTAAAAAAAAATTTATACTGATTATTCATAGCAAAATAATATTCTTATCTTTTAAGAAATAGTTCATATTTATCTATTATGTATATAGTACTCAATTATTCTCAATAGTATATGAACTTGACATCTACTACTCATTAATAAACATTTTATAAATGTTAAAAATAAAATCTTATTATTTTATTTCGAATCTCTAGTCGACTATATACATATATATTTTTTTGTTATTACAATAATATTTCGGTAGTGAAGTTCTTCTTGATGATGATGATTAAAACGAGAAATGACATAAGAATGAAATTGATTTGGTTGACATTCATTTCGGCTGGTTCTTTCTATATTCTTTCTTCTCTTCAGATCTCTTATCTATGTGCTCATCCTTTTCCGTTCTTCTATATACTTCTATCTCGGAATTTATTCGATTGTATGAGGCATTCATACTCCGCCCGTCCATGATCTTCCTATATGCTGCTTATGAACACATTCGTCACAGTCAATAACAGTACAGCCAAAGGCGAATAAGATAAGGTGATGACGATCAGCATTATAACGCAAAGCGAAAGAGAGAGAGAGGGAGAGGGAGAGCGAGAGGGAGAGAGAGTGAAAGAAAGTGAGCAAGGGGGAGAGAAAGAGGCGTATAGATAGATGTAGAGAAAGAGAATAAAGCGAAGTGCCACTATTGGATTTTCTCTCTAGATGAAAGAAGTTTTTTCTCTCTATGCGACTCGGATACCATTTAAACGATTTCGAGTGCGTCGAATGTTCTTAGAATAATTGATGTTTCAACACTACTTATTAATGGACATCTATTAATAATAACGATATGGAAGATCACTGAAGGTTTAAAGTCAAAATAAAAAAAAGACGAAAACATTCAATTTATACATTTACAAAAATATGTCTCGTGGTACTATTCGTTCAAACAGTACAAGACCTTTTTGTAAGTATAAGTGCATTTATTTATTTTCAGTGAACAAATGATTTGAATTTTCTCTGACAGGTTACATTAATAGTTGTTATTTATGTGCATAATACTTTTGTCAATTTTTTTGACATCTATCTATCTTCATTAGAATACACTGTACATATAGGACTAACAAAAATTGATCTATGCCAACTCGATTAGTTGATTCTTATCTTTTCTTTTGTCTTTTGTTATTTGAACTGTATCGATGCTATGCATGAGAAAACTTCCATTAGTATTCATTTTCATAGAACCATATCAAAAGAAATCTTCGAATGTTTTGTTCTCATATAACAAAAATGTGATATATATATATATATGTGATTATCAACTTAATATTAACCATTATCTAATTATTTTTTATATTAATGAGTTATCTATAAATGATAAAAAAAGAAAATTTTTCACATAATATATTTCTCTACTGATAAAACCATAGATATTCTTTTTAATATAGTTGAGTCAATTATATAAATGAAAACCATCTTCATCATTTATTTCTATTCATTTCGTTATATACCTATGGTGATCTCAGTATGTTGACTGATTAGAGAAAAATTCTTTTCTTGTATAAAACATGCACGATAATATAATTATTTATATCATGCTGCTTCATTATCAGTATAATATAGTTGATCTTGAACTATATTTGATCATATACGTAGATTCTGAGGGAAAAAAAAGAAAACAGTAGAAAAATTTGCATATTTATTTTCGATTATAATTTGATCAAATAAGAAAATAAATAGTAATAATCATTTAACCTTATCAAAAAAAAAACAAGATTAATTGATAATCGTGTCGATGAGAATTTTCGCTAGATGCACAACAACAGTAACAAGGGAATAGAAAAAAAACAACGTGAACGACACGAAAACAAACTTGATCTTGTTGTATTATCATATTTCTTTTATCAATATAGATCGAGTTAAAGTGATCAATGGAATATGTTCTAATACATCAACAGATGAATTTGAAAATACTCATTTACTTAATGTACTTAATTGGTCACCATTAGAAGATTTAGTTATCGAGAAACCATTAACAATAATTAAAGAAGATGATGAAATAAAATCAAAAAATTTCTATAATGCTGTACAACTTTCAATTGAATTACAAAAACGAATGATAAAGTAAAAACTAAACTAATATTAATCATCATTTATTTGTTTTTTATAATCTGATAGTTTAAAATCTACATTCATTGATTCATCTGGTCATCTTATAAATTATTCTGAATTACGTCGAAGTAAAATTTATAATGATTTATATGAAATGTCAAAATATTTAACAACAATTAGTCTTGATAATGTTACAGAAAATGAACGTAAAACATTTTTTATAAGTAAATTTTTTTAATTCTAATAGAATATTATTTAATTCATATTTTTGTCTTTCAAAAAAAAGATCTTTACAATACATTAACAATTCATGGTATTGCAACCTTAACTGATTTACCAAAATCTGTATTTGATTTAAATCAATTTTGGAAAACAACAGCGTATAAAATTGGTTTACATATTTATTCATTAGATGATATTGAACATGGAATTTTACGAGGTTTGTATTAAGAATATTTATTTTTTATTTCATTAAAATCTTATTTTTTTTTGTCTCAGGTAATAAACCTCATTCAAATTGTACACAACGACATTTTACATATAATGATCCTCGTGCAAGATATTCTATGCGTCGTTGTGATCCACGTATACATTTTGCATTGAATTGTGGTGCACGTTCATGTCCACAAATATCAATTTATTCATCAACAAATCTTGAAAAAGCTCTAAATATGTCAACAACATCATATTGTAATTCTGAAATTGATCTTATACCAGAAAATGCTGAAATACATTTATCAAAATTATTTCTTTGGTATAAAAATGATTTTGGACGAACAGATGCAGAAGTTTTAAGGTTAATTATTTCTTTTAAAAATTTCTTTCTAATAATTTCTTTCTAGATGGATAGCAAATTATATTGACGAACCTAAACAATCATTACTTAAAACAATACTTGAACAACATGGTACAAAAGATGGTATACATATATCATATAAAATTTTTGACTGGATGTTAAATAATCATGAGGCTTTGATATCAAATACAACTGATGTTAATATTCATCAATAGAAAGAAGACGAAGAAGAAGAAACGATTTTTTAACATTCCATCATTGTAATTGCACTGATAAAAGAAAAGAAAACACTCTATTTTTTTTTGTTTCTGTTTTGTGAATAATAAAATTTTAATCTTTAAGTGAAGAGAACAATTAGATTATTTATTTTAGAAACAAAAATGAAAGGAAAAATTAAAAGGAAGGCACAACATCAAACACAAAGAAACAAAAAACGAATAATAATCATTTTTGATATGTATTATATTTCTTTTATGGAAAAAATAAACTGATATGTAGTACGATCACAAAATAATAATAGATAAAATTTTGATATGTATGGTTGTTAATCATCATCATCATCTGACTACTCCTTTAAAAGAATATCTAAACATATTTTTTTTTGCTCATTTACCATTCTTATTTATGATATGTAAGGATAAAATATAAAGTGAAACAACATTCACCGGCGGGGTTAACACTATAGTTGAATACATGACAATCTAATTTTGTTTTTTAATCATAAGCACTTAAACCTTCTTGACTTTGTGAAAATGAATTATTAATCATCATTGCTGGTTCAGTTAAATATTGTTGTCCTGTTGTTGGTTTAATAATTCGATAATGTAATTCATCTGTTGTTGTACTTTCTTTTAATGGTAAGATTTCACTTGGTATGTCAACAAGACAATGAAATATATCATAGGATGGTGATAAAATACGTTTTTCAAAAAGACTTTTAGCTATTTGAGAAACAATTAATGTTGTTGCAAGACATATAAGCATACATAATGTTTTTGGTGGTATATATGGACCAAAATGAATAACTGCTGGTATACCTAATGATGGTTCACCAACAAGAATACGTACGAGAAAACCAATTATATATGCTGATAATGAACCATATGTATTTGTATGTGAAACATAGATAACACAGAGTAATTGTGGAAAAAGTATGACATAAACAAGATCCGAACATAAATACCAAAGAACATAAATTGATGATACCATTATACCTATAGCAGCAGCTCCAATTCCAACAAGAAATATTCCAATACGCATTACAAGTAAAACTTCACGTTCCGATGCCTATTCAAAATTGATTTATTTATTTATAATAATAAGGAAAAATTATATATAATTTACTTGACCACGGAAAACAAGTTTCCAGACATTTCGAGCAAACATTGAACTAGCACTAAGTACACTCGAATCAGCACTAGACATAACAGCAGCTGAAACAGCACCTAAACCAATAAATGCAATAAATTTTGGACATAAATGTAGAAGAACTAATGGTAAAATTAATTTAGTTGCTTCAGGCGATGTTATATCTTTATTTATATCATAATCTGTCATAGACCAATCTATGAAAAAAAAATCATATATATTTTATATCAATCAAAATAATATACAGACTAGTTGATTTTGCAATAGCTCCAATCAATACAGGTGGCATTGCTAAAACAATACAACCAACAGCAGCACAAAATGATAGATACATAGCCTTTTTAGCTGATTTAGCTGAGAGAACACGTTGAAAATAGACCTAGAAAAAAAAACATATAATTAATTAAAACTTTTTCTATTAAAACAAAAAGAATAAAATCATATTAGTTCTTTATAATATTTGTTACATGCAATATCACTTTAAAATAAAGAACATGCTAAGGTTTTTTTTTTGTTGTCACGAAAGCAAAAAATATTTTAATTTACCTGCCATGGTATTCCACCAAAGATTAATAATAACATACTATCAATCCATTCAACTATACGTGATTTATCAATATGTCCACGCCATTCTGGCCATGTTGCAAAGATATCACCAACACCTTCATGTTGCATTGCAAATGGAACAGCAACCCATAGACCAACAAAAATAAATCCAAGTTGAACAACATCTGTATAAGCGACCGAATATAATCCACCAAAAAGTGTATAAATTATAACCACAATTGCTAAATATATATATATATTTTTCAAAAAAAACAGAAAAAGAAATAATTACCTGAAATAATAATCGATGCTGTCATTGAAACATCCGTAAAAATTACACTAATTGTTGCTCCTAATGCCGATAGAATCGCTGCTGACCAGAATACTTCTCCTAATAGAGCTGGTATAAATAATAATCCACCCATTCGTTGACCATATTTACGTTGAAATGGATCAAGCATTGTAACATATCCAGCATCACGCATGGGTCGTGCAAATAATAATCCACCAACAACTAAACTAGTTGCATAACCTAATGGAGCTTGACATGAAAAAAGACCTGTAGAAAAAACTTGTTCAGCTGTTCCATTTATATATGCTCCACCAACCCATGTTGCTGTCATTGTAAATATTCCAACCAGTAAACCAATATTCCTCCCTGCCAACATTATTTCTTCAGTATCAGGTGATTTTTCCGATGATTTTTGTTTTCTTCCAGCCCATATTCCAACAAGTAATATTAGAACATAAAAAACTACAACGGCCGCAAGACCACCAAGATGTACTACCATTTTCTAAAATAAATAAATTATATATTTTAACATAGAAAAATAATAAAAATCTTCTATATTTGAATGAATAGTATCTTTTAGCCGGAAGTTTCTCTTGCCAATAGGAAATTAATTGAACAAGAATAGGCGGATAGAAAGAAAAAAAAATGTTGAAGTATCATACAAAGATAATGGCCTTCAAAAAAGAAGAAAAAAAAATATAATATTATTATTTAATTTCATTTGAAAAAAAACATTTTCTTTTTCTTCTTCTTCATTCTTCGATTGATTACGATAAAATGTTCTTTATAATAAATGTTCTCTGTCAAAATTTAGTATACAATAAACTTACGGACGAGTTGATCGTATGTTTGTATTTTACGGGTGATGTTTGTTCCCGTTGCTTGATCTCAATTCTATTTCTATCACAATGAGCATCATGCCAATTTTTTTGTTGCTCCGTTTTTTCTTTTCCTTTTTCATCTCTATATTTTTTCCTCTTTTTTTCTTCTTCCCTATCGAACTCTGTGTACTCCGCGGTTTAACGAGGAAGGTTCTGTCTTGGAACAACTACTAGACAATTCATTTATTTGATTATATATATTTTTCATAAGAACATCGTCGAGATTAGACCGAAAAAACACAATTTATTTTTCGATAGTTCTGTTCATACAACTATTGGTAAAGAGAATAATCATGCTTTCCTCTTCTTCTTCTTCTTCTTTTTTCTCCTCTTAATGGGAACATGTCGGCCGAGATTGAGCACGGTTGGAATGACAATCATCGTTCCAAAGATAGGCTAGATATGACACGAGATTCCAACAGAGACAAATAGAGAGAGAGAGAAAAATAAGGAAAATTATAGGCTATCTTCTTTTTTTTCTTGTTTTTCAAAAACAAATATATTAGTCGATATAATAACCCTATAAAATGATAGATTTCATAGGAATAAAGATAAAACTTTTACGAACAATGAGTAAATAAAAATGTGATTATCTTTATTTATCAACTAATCTTAAAAAAAATCTGAGATTCATTATTAATAACCACTAAATTTAAATAAAAAAGCAACTATTTTTATATGATTTAATACTGAAAGACAACGTAACCTATTCTATAATTTACTATTTAAACTATTATCTTTTTTTTTTTGTAAGAATTCTTTTAAAAGTTTTGATTTGATGAATAAAATAAATTATTCAAATAGAATTAAATCTACAAGTACTTGAAACGAATTTTTTATTTTAAATCGTATAATCAATACAATTATTTTTTGCATCCAATGAATCTTTTTATTATTCTCAGTGGATCTAAAAAGTTAAATCCCATATCGCTATATTTGCATGATAGAATGAGTTAAATACTGGTTACTAACCGTTACATAATTTGAAACTAAGATATTATCAATGATAATTATATCTGATGATGTTAACGATGCATAATAATTATCTTTTTTTTCTTCTTCTTAGATGTATATATTTCATATTTTAGTTAGTATTATTTAGTTTTTTTGGAAAAATCTTACATTAGAACTAAGATGAATAATAACAAATATTATGAAATATTAAATGTATATTATTTACTGAAAAATATAGAATGATTCTTTTTTTTAGTATGAATATAGATGTTAAATTATTTATTAGTCAATAAAAAACAAACAAATTATTTGATTTTATATCTCAATAAATAAATTCTTAAAATGTATTTATTCATCAATTTCTATATTTAATAAATTATTTTCAGTTCTAATAAAAATTCCCACTAAAACAATATATTAGTTCATATAGTATTATTAAATAAGAGTTATTATAGACGTCTATACAAAAAAAACCTTTTCATCATTCTATTATATTACACATCAATCACTAGTGGAAAATATCGAATAAATTTTGTTTTTCGTAATTCTACTTTCAAGTTAAGTACGTGGAGATAATATATCTATGATCAATCGTATTATTACATATTTGTATAACTGATGAGCAAGACACTATCAATTGTTGATTTTAGAATAGCATTTTTTAAAATAAAAAGAAAACAAAAAGAAAATATGTCATGCTGATTCTTGTGTACCAGTTATATTTAGTAAAGTAAGTGGAAGTTCAACTAGAGTAAGTTGATTATCAATAACAACAGTAATAGTACCGGAAAGAGATAAAGGAATAGTACCAGCTAATAAAGGACCCAGAAGAGAAACCATTGTAGTTAATTTAGCTGTAATCTTAACATCTATATAAGGTGTTAAAACGTCTTCATAAGCATTAATATTAATATGTGTATTATCAGTAACAGTACCAATTTGTTGATTATCATTTATTACGGCACCAAGATCAGCTCGTATATTCATACTGGTTATAGCTAAAGGTGTACTAAAAGGATTTTTAAGTCGAATACGTGAAGAAAGTGTTTTGACTAAACCAAGTGGAATACCAGTTATCTGTAAAGCACTTAATTTTTTTAGACGAACTTCTCGAACAAGTGTTCTTTCACCCGTAAGACCAGGAACTTTTGTACGAATACGTAGATCAGCAATAGCCATTGAAAGTAAAGGAATAGAAGTACCAATTGAATTATCTGATAATGTACCACATAATTCAACTTCATTATCTATACCACAAACCATATGTGAAATAAATTGTTCAGCTATAGCAGAATTACTTTTTGTTATCATAAAAATACCTTGTGCATCAAGTAGAGTACTGTTATCTTGTGGATTAAGATAAAATGGATCGATAATAACTGAACCTAATGAAATATTACTTGTCAGTTCACGTAAATCAAGTGATAAACGACCACCATTAATAATATTAACAACAGACGGATTATCAATTTTTGTTTTAACACGAAGAGATAATTTATCGGATGATAAAGCTCCTGTTAAATCAATTTTATCGATAGTTAAAAGTCCATTATCAAATCGTTCATAACCAATAAGATGAAGTGTATCACTAACAGGAATATCATTTAAAGTAATATTACCTATTTGAACTTCAGCTAATGCTGCAGCTAAACCTTCAATCGTAATCGATACATTATTTGTAAGAACAAGATTAGCAGCAAATTCTTGAAATAATTTTTCATCAAGTATTAAAAGTTCTTGTTTATTAAAATTCATTAAAAGTTCATTAGTTATTTGATTATGTTCAACGGGTAAATCATAAAGACTCATTTGACTCATACTAGATCCATTATTAAAACATATTGTATAATTAATATTTGTTGTTAATGCTCGAAATGTCATATGAACATTAGATGGTAATTCAAATAGAACTAATAATTGACCTGTAACATAAACTTTATTGACATCTATTGAATCAAATTCAATACCAAAATTCAGGACCTCTACTCGACGAATTAATTGTGTATCTATTCCATTGAGATCTGCTTTCATAGAAAGACCACTAATTGTTAAATCCATACCAGTAGGATTTTCTGTAGTTGATAATTCATGATACAGTTTTACTAATTGTGTTTGACCATTAAGATATGCAGAAAAAAATTTACCAACAAAAGGTAAATCTGTTTGATCTAATGGAGCTAATAAACTAAAATTAGAATCAGAATAATAATTTTATTTATAAATAAAGAATAGATAAACAAACCCATTGAGGAGCATATTATTATTTCCTGGTTCTAAGATTAATAAATCAATTGGTACTTGACCAAGAACTGTTCCACTATCACCATCAGCCATATAAAGTATAAAATTTTGTAACTGAACATTCGTTATACCAGGATTATTGATAGTTACATTAATAGAAAGTTGTAAAGCAGTATCTATTTCTCCATCAACTGAAATACTATGAACATAAACATTATTAAGACCTTTAAGACCAACTAATGATACACGATTATCAATAGGAATTCCATGAATATTTAAAGGACCTAAAGCAAATGAACCAGTAATAGAAGCAAAACCAATAATACTAAATTGAATTGGATGAGTTTCATTAGCATTAATAAAATTTTGAGCAAATTTTTCATAAGTTTTACCAGTATCAGTTAATATCAATTGTTTATCATTAAAATTTGTTTCATATGTAATTTCATTATTTTGTTTTACTGGAACTTGAGAAACATCAAGCATACCAACAGAATTATTTTCATAGACAAGAAAAACATTCATATCCATAGTTGTAATATCAAGTGGTGATTGATTACCAAGTGGTGAATTAATTTGAATAATAATTGAAGCTGATAATGATACTTTCTTTTCATCTGTTGATGGAATAAGTGACATTGAATTAAATATTAGAGAAGGAATTAATTGTTCATCAAATGAAGGCATTTGAACATCTAATGAAAGACCTTCCATACCATTGGCAAGTAAAGAATATGAAGTTGCATTAGGTCCAGCTACTGCTTTCACACTACTTGTTTTTCCTGTAAGAAAATTTTGAACAACTGTTGAAAGAGCATTATATGATTCAGAAGATTTTGATTGAAGTTCACCAGATAATGATATGGCATTTATACCTGGATGTAATGTTGTATTACTATCTATTGATTGAATATAACCAATAGAATAATTATTATAATGTAATGAAAATTTTAATTCACCTATAAAAAATTAAATAATAATAATAAGATAATTAATATTTAGGAATTTTATTTACCAAGATCAATACTAAATAATGATGGATTTGGAATTTCAATAATAATATCAGCAAATATATGTTGTCGATCAGATCGACGAAGACTAACTGATTGAATATTTACATTTTGAAGACCATTTAAAGCATTAAGTGTTACTTGTTTATTAAATGGAATATTAGAATAAACAGGCATACTACTAGAAATAGGTTGTATAGAAGCTTTAGCTGTTAAATGCCATATAACTTGTGATTCAAAAATAAGCGAACGAGTAAATTTATGAAAAGCATCTAAATTAGATACAATAAATGGAGAATCAATTGGAACGATAGTAGAACGATCAGCATCACCACTAATAATAATCGGTTGTTCATTTCTTACAATTCCAACATTATCAACATTGATAACTAGTGGAGAAAGTATGGTAGCTGAAATTGATCCAGTACGTGATAATTCTAATTGAGCTCGTAAACGAAAACGATCATTCTCTATTTCTTCAATATTAATAGATCGAAATGATAATTCAGCTTTATCAATAGTTGAACGAACAATAGCTGGAACAATAACATAGAATACAAGTAATATTCCAGTAAGAATTGCTAGCAATGCAATAGCGATACATAATATAATAAATAATTTACGACGCATACGAAAACCTTTATATCGACCACATATAGTACATAATGTGATTGTTTTAGATGATGTTTCTTTATTTTTATTGTCAGATGATTTTTCTAATGTAGTTTTTACTAAATCTTCACGATCATTTTCAGTAGCGGAATGTATACGCGATGATCTAATGAAAATTACTGAATGATTCGAAGCAGCGGATTTTCTTCCACTCATAGGAAAGTTTATATCTAAAAAACAAAGCAATGAGAAATTAAATATAAAATACTTACTTTCTATTTACGAAGTATGAAAGACAGAATTAATTCTATTTAACTAACTATAATATCTATGTAAGTGAAACGACGTAATAATATTTTTTTTACTGAGTATATCTAAAGTTCTTTTTTTTATATTTTATACGCCATTTGATAGTTATCTATATCAATTTCACTTTAGTTTGTCGTAATTCTTTTTTTGTTGGACTTTTGATTTTTGATAAAATTTTATTTTTATTTCGAGGTGTAGATAAAAAATAGAGATATCAAATTTGAATTACAGAACATTACATTCTATTTTATAGTTAACTTCAATATAAGTTAATGTGAATTAATAACGTCTGTTACGATCCCTGCTGAGCCTTTGCCATTGTCTGTAATACAAATTGATAATCATTAATTTATGTTAATTGATAAAACCTGTAGAAGAAGGGATTGGGTGGTGAGTCCAACACTTCTACCCTTAATACTCCGGCACTCATTTTCAACTCGTGTTTTACAAAACATTAGAGATAAGAATAAAAATTATATGTACGCGTTTTTAACATTAATTTCAATTATTAGAAAAATTAATTTTATTTAATCTATATTAGAATTCGTTGTAATATATGGTTGAGTAACGTTGTATTAGAATATTATCAGATAATCGAATATAAAAATACGTTGGCAAAACATACAAGTTTCCTTTTTCATATGATATATTATCCTTTATATAATATCATATGAAGATTCTTTTTAATAAGTGTCTGCTACGTGTTTTTAGTAAGATGTAAATTATGTGAACTTGAATGAGGATTTTCCATGTGTCACGTTCATTTTTTTTTCATAAAGAAGGAAATATGAGTGACAACTTTCTACATTAACTAATCTTGTCAAAAATTGTTCGATTATTACAGTTGCATGATATTATTTTTACAATATCAAATTGTATAAAATAAACTTAACTTCTATATTGTTTTAGGAGTGTGTATTCTTTCTATATTATTGTATTGAATTTTCCTGATATTTTTAGAGCTAGATCAAACTTTTTCATAGGTTAATAATGATAAAATCTTGAATTTGTAAGGATTTAAAATATTTCTTCATCAATCTACAAGTTACTCATGTATTCAGACAAGAGAAAATAGAAGACTTCAAAAGATTTCACAGTTAACATCTGCATCGTTTTTCCCTCGAGTAAAAATTTTATTCTTACAAAAATATTATTCAAATAAAAATATAGAATAATTAATAATTTCAACATGAAAAATAAATATTCTTCTAGGTTATTTTTCAATTTTTATTTATTTTTTTCACTATTATTACTATATTACGTATGTCAGTATGAACGACAAGCATAATAAGAAGAGAAGAAGAAAAAGAAAAGCAAAATATTTAGTAGCGTGCACTTTTACGAACGTCAACTCATAATAAAGAAAAAACAAAATCATCATATTACTCCTATGATTTCTATACTGCTTCGTTAACCGTTATGCTTCAGGTATGCAGAGTATAAATAAATATATCTTATTTTGTTTTTATTTTTCGTCGGATATATATTTAGTCAAATATTTCAACAACATTTGTTTGTAGTTCAAAACGTGGAAGAAAAAAACGAAGAAAAGAAGGAAATGAATGTTTAGTATGTGGAGCTGAATCAGTTGGTATTAATTTTGGCGTTTATACTTGCGCACCATGTAAAGCATTTTTTCGTCGGAATGCTACGAAACTTGGTGTATGTTTATTTTGTATTGAATCTTTGCTTACAAAAATAGAAATTATTTATTTATTTTTAGTCATATGAATTTATTTGTAAAGCAGATGGTGATTGTCCAATAACTAGTGATACACGTCGATCATGTAATTGTTGTCGTTTAGCCAAATGTTTTCGTGTTGGTATGGATAAAAAATGTATACGTACAGACGATGAAAGACTTGAAAGAAATCAATTAATTGAGTATAATAGACAAAAACGAGCTGAAACAAAAGAACCAGTATTTATTAGAATTATTATTTAAATATATCTATAATTTCGTGTTGTTTTTATCTATTTAGATTTATTTAGTAAATCTTCTAAAATATTCTCATAAACCATATTCATTATTATCATCAAATGATCAAATATTATTACAAAACATAACGAATGCATATGAACAAACATGTATATCATTAAGATATCATGTACATTTACAAATGAAAAATGATGATACATTATCAATAGGAAAATTTATGAATTCTGTTTCACATATGTATATTGCATTAGTTGATTATATTAAATGTATACCTGAATTTACGAATTTATCTATTAATACAAGAATAAGTTTATTAAAAAATAATTTAAATCAAATATTTCGTTTAAATAGTGCATTAATTATACATGCAACTGGTCCAGTTGATGATACTAATACAGTTGTATTTAAACGTGTTTTTCCTGATGATTTATATTTAGAACAATGTCGTTGTGTTTTTAATCTAATACCATTTGTCTACGATCCTATACTTCTTAAATTAATAATCATTGTATTAATTTTTTCAACAAGTTTAAGTACTCGTTATGATATAAATCAACAAATAAATTCTATTGAAAATATATCATCAATACAAGATTTTTATATTGAATTATTATGGCGTTATATTTTATACCGTTGTTCAACATATCGACAAAGTGTACAACTTTTAACATTATTTATTACACGTTTACTTCATTCACAAATTGTCAATGAAAAACTTAGTACATATATTAGTCAAATATCACCGAATCAAGTTAATCAATTAGAACCAATTATGAAAGCAATGTGGCTTGATGAAAAGAACAAATAAATTTTAGAAGTTAGCTTTCTTTCTTCTGTAAAATAAAAGAAAGAGAAGATCCAGAACATCTGCTTCTAAACTATTACTCCTAGATAAAAACCTGATTATTTATTCTTTTATTCATATAAATAAATTCAATTGAGACAATGAACATATGTCCTACTGCAAAGTTTAACAACTCATGTGTGCAAATTAGTTCCTGTAAACTTTGTTCTTACTCACAGCTAATAAGGAATGCATGAAAGAATAAGGAAAAAGGATCACGCAGAGATGTTCATAGTAGAAAAGTGTTCTTAATAAAACTTCAATAATGAAAATTTTTGTATCAGTATTGTACTTTTTTATATCTCATGAGATTATTTGTAGAAAAAAAAACATGTCAAACATATATTGTGTGACACTGTTTGTTGAAAATTATCAAAGATTATCATATTACATAGAATCAACCAATGTTAATGTTCCACCTAGGTTTGTTTTTATTTGAGCACTATAATATGTCAATGGCATATTTTATTCTCACATATGGTTTGCATTCTGTCAGTGTGAATTAATTTTGTCTGAATATAAAGTCAAATATCCGTTTGCTTGGGGAATAATAAAATGAGAAAGGTTTTTATATTATTCCTATTAGTAATTTATATATTATATTCATTAGCAGATAAATTTGAGAAAAAGAAAAAGGTATTGAAAAAACTACGTATATAGTTTGTATAATTAAATTTTGATTTTTATAGAATTTTAGATCACCGGGTGGACCATTAAAACTTGGTAAGTAAAATTGAATTCAAATACGTTTTTTTTTCATTTCAGTAATTATTTAGGAAAAGGTTTGAAGTATCCTGCCGATATTATTGAATCTGTTCAAATGGATGGTTTGGATGATCCAAAAATAAAAATAGAATTTGCTGGTATGGAAGAAAGTGATGAAGAAGCAACGATTTCTGCTGCTGATGATGATGATGATGAATCAGAAGAGGATGAAGACGAAGAAGAAGAAATTGTCGTTCCGATCAAGAAAAAAAAATTACAAAAATCAAAAACTGAAGAAGATATTCATTCTTTTCTTTAATTTTATATTTAATTGATTTCGAATAAAATTTATACAATCACAATATATTCTATTACTTACGTTGAATGAGAAAAGGAATCGGAAGTATTTTTCATGTACTTTACAACAATTCATACAGATTAAATAAAATAAGTTAAGAATATATCTTAAATTCTATATTTATTTTCTATCAACAAAAAAGATCTATCTAATAAAAATTATACAGCTTGATTAAAATAATTAGTGTTTATGAGATGATCAATGCTTTTTACTACTTGCTGCATCCCGACTATAAAGAAAAAATACAATAGAAATAATAATGAGTGATAACTTACTCAACGGATTGTTGTTCGTGCGCATCTCGTTTACTTGCTTCTTTGCTTAATTTTAAACTCTTCGAAAATTCTGGATTTTTTATATAATTAATATAAATAAAATAAGAACTAATGGCCAAAATAACTCCAAAACCAATTTTACCCCATGTATTCAATGATGTGCCAACTTGAGGACTATAAAAGAAGATTGGTAGATATTTGGTTGTATATATATGTATAGGAAAATTCAATAAAAATGTAATATTTTTGATTATCGATCAAATTTATGAAACACTTTCTGATGTCAATGTATCAATAGAATTACTATAAGTTCATAATGATGAGACAAATCGGTATTTATGTTGAGCAATTCTACCGTATGACTATCAGAATTTCTAAGCTCAAGAGACCTGAACATCTTTGACAAATGATTATTGAGTATCTTAGTCAAATTTTCCTTCCGTTTTTTGACAAATTATAATAAGGATTCAAAATTACAAGAACGGAAGTCGAATTTATATGATTTTTCACAAAAGCGGATGTTTACAAGCGAACTCAATAATATTATCTAATTGTTAATAATCTATTTGGTGTATACTGTTGTTGATTTATGAAAGTTTAAAAAATAAAGTAAACGTACGTATGAGATGATTCACCAGCTGGTTTTGGTTTAATTGGATCGTTTAATGTGCCTCGTTGTTTAGCATCTCGCATGGCCATGTCAGTTCCATCAGCAGAGCGTGATGCTTGTGAAAGATTTCCTGAAGCACCCGATGGTTGTGTACTAGGCGTACCACTCGATGTACTTGTTGTTCCTGCTGCACGACGAATACATGAAGCATGTGTTAACATAAATCGTGAATTACGAAATAAACTTGCCATTTCAAAAAAAAGAATAGAAAATCTACAATAAAGAACGATAATCTATGAGCATATTTATTTTATACAAAGAAAAAAATAAACGTAATTCCTAAGAGAAATAGTTAAATACATTAAAGTTTATTGAATTGAGCTAGTTATAACTGACTATTGTTAATCGGGGTTATTAAATATTAAGAGATCTGTGTATAGTTTTATAATTAATGAGCCATATTTTGATAATTACTATTATTTAAATTTACTATTGTAAATAATAATTGCATTAGTTGACTATGTCGATCTTGTGATGCTTCATCACTATCATTGATACGATGTCGAAGTGAACGTAATTCATTATTAATCATTTCAATTAAACTACGAAGAATATTTTCACTTCCTATTTGATTCTGATCATTAGTTGATGGTAATAATAAAGATAAATTCTTTTCTGAACTAGTCTTTGGATATGTAAATATTTCATTAGATTTTGTCTAAAATAAAATATTCGCTTGTGTTTGTTTTTTCTATTTTTAACAAAAAATATTTTATATATACAAACTTGTATATTCTTATGAATTAATTGTTTCGACGTTAACATTTTTAAACGTTCATGTCGAAGATAGACTGTATAATCAATTTTAATTTGTATACCATAAGAATCTTTTAATATTTCATTAACACGTATCCATATATAATGTGATTCAGTTAATTTCCAAAATTCTGTTAATTCTTTAATTGTCATTTTATCATTTGTAAGACGAACATGTATACCAAGCCATGGTAATGTACGAACAGATTCTGGACATATGTATATATCAGAAAATGAAACATTACTTTCATTACCAAAATCAACAAAAAAAACTAAAGCTTGTTCATGTTGTAAATCAATAGTTTTAACCCATGCACGATAATATTTACCATCATCAGTATATCGAGCAACAACAAGACTATGACAAAACAAAAAATGAATTTTTAATAAATATATGAAAGATAATAGACATACGTTTTTATTTGAGGTATTTGAAGAAATTCTCGATTTGGTATATGATCTTCTTGTAATTCATTCATAGCTCGATCAATAGCAGCTGTATTATCATTGATAAGTAAAACATAAAATGAATCATCTTTACCACTAAATGAACTAAGTAAAGCTTTTAATTCATCACCAACAGATAATTGTATTTCATGTTGAAATTGTTCAATTAATTCATCTTCAGCTGATATTATTTTCTAAAAAAAAAAATAAATATACGTTATTATTGTAATAATATATTAGTCATTAATTAAAAGAATTTACATTAGATAAAAGTAATTTTTGAATTTGTTTATTAATATTTTGTCCATTTATAGAGAGAATAATTTTACCTCCAGTTGTACTATGAAAATCATTTACAATGACATCATATTCATCTTCACTTAGTAAAGTAATACATTGAGTAATAATATTTGCTGGTATTGAATCATCTTGATCTGGTACACCATCAAGATGGCATATAATAGAACAAGCTGGATCACCATAAAATTCATTTGGTAAATAACGAATATATTTTGGATCAATTTTTACAGGTATCATCATACCCCAATCCAAATAGATAACAGTAACTGTTTTCAAATCTGATGATATTTCTAAAATACGACAACGAAACCAACGTCCTTCATGAAAACATGCACATATATGATTTATTTCTGGTCTATGAAAAATAATGAGTTCAAGAGATAAGAATTAATAAGAGTTGAAAATATACTTAAAAGGAAGAGTAGGAATATAATTTGATTGAAGTTCTAGATGTGCTGCCATTTTGTGAAGTAGACGGCAAGCTATATTAAAATCTTCAGATAACATAAGCTAAAAGAAAAGATATTATTTGTAAATAAAAAATAAATCATGATCAATTTACATGAACAATTGATGGACTTTGAGGATGTGATATATGTACTTTTGTTAAACGTTGACCACGTTCTAATATTTTATGTTTTGGTATATCCATTGGAGTAGGTTGAGAGTTCTTTTTTAATTGTCGATCGATTGTATTTAATGGTGAATTTTGTGTAGAATTAATTGGTTGAAAAGCAGATGTCTTTGAATGTTGATTTAATTTTAATGAAGAATTATTTTGCAAATCATCAATACTATAACAAGTTGCACTTTTAATTGATGAATTTGATGTAAAAAATGCTGATGTCGATCGAGTTGGACCAGCTGGAGCAATAATTGCTGTTGGACGTGTTGAGATACCAACAGGAGGACTTGTTGTTAACAAACTTGGTGGTTTTATTTGTTGAGATTCTAGGAGAAAAAGAAAACGATTGTTCACATATGTATAGAACAATTTATGAATTTACCAATATGATTATGACGAATGAAATCAGTAGAATTAACATGACCAATATCAGATTTCGGAAACCAATGATCAGATTGTTTATCATTTATTTTTTCATTGATATTATCAGTTGTTTTATCTATGATATTTAATTGAGGTAGATCAGCTTTTTGACTATAAATATTTGGTTTAGTTTTAGTTGTTTTTTCATTAGTTGCTAATGGACGAATACTACGAATTGCTGATTCAAAATCAGTATTAATTGTTTTTGAAGATAGTCTTGAAGAACATTTAGATTTTATTGTTGAATTATTTTCATTAATATCATCATTCATATCATCTGGATTTGAATTAGGTGACGATGACCGATTATTATTATTATTATCATCATCATCTTTATGTTTCATAGAATGAGTATGTGTAAAATGAGGACCAATACGAATACCACCCCGATAGCCACGAAGTGGACGTTGCATCTCTATCTGAAGTTAGAGGAGAATTCAATTAATAGATTTGTCAATATTCGATAGCATTAATGAATGCTTCGATTTTTTGATTGTTTCTATTAAATGGTTTTTTTTCAACTAATAATTCGTTAAAATCTATCATCTATTCAAACAAACAATTTACTATTTCTTTTGAAAATATCTTCATATAAAAAGAAAAACATTAATCGACATATATAAAAGAAAAATACATATTCAGTCATCATCATCATCGTCGTCGATTATTGTTAACTTAGTTCCAAAACGTTTCGGTGGCCAAAGTACGCATAATGCTCGTCCAGTAACTAATCCTCGAGCAATCTGAATATATATGATAGAATAATTTTTTCATTTTAGAAAGTTTACTTACACAACCAAAATGACGACTGTCATAACTTGCACGTTTATTATCACCTTCGACCCATACATGTCCTTTTGATACTCGTGTTTCTCTTTGTTTTTTTGTATCACTTGATGAATAAGGAATAATCAATAAAAAAAAACAATTATGTCTTCTCAAAAACTAATTGCTCACTAGATTATTTCATTCTCTAATGCTTTAACACGTTTAATCATAAATACACCTGGTTCACGAGGAGATCTTTTAAAATTGAAAAGATTTACTCTATATATATAAAAATTATAAAAAACATACTCAAACGATATAATATCATTTTTTTGTAAACAGTAGTCATCGATATGCCATCGTTTTATTAATATCCAATCACTATTCAAACCAGTAGGATTTAGAATAGGCTATTATGAAATAAATTAATCAAGAATAGTGAGAAATATGATCTACCTGCATGGATATTCCATCAACAAGTGATAATGTGGTTATTCTATCCATAAAAGTAGTTAGAAATGGAAGAGCAAAAATGGCACCTTTCAACGCATGTTTTACAAACTCTCCTAGTTTCTAATTTAAAAATACATATTTAAATAAAGATAAATCAGATAGTATAAAACATAAGCTACCATGTCATAGTATTTTAATGTAAAAGAGAAATGAAATTAATCTAGAGAAAAAAATAATTATTATTGATTATTTTGTTAAATACTAAGACAATATAATCCCAATAAGATATAGTTAAAAAGTAGTATTATAGAGTGCAAAAAAAAGAATTGAATCAAAACTTCAAATAAGTGAGATCATGTATTCTGTCATAAAAGTTCGTCGTGTCTTCGCTTGTTTATTATTGATTTTTCGATTTGAGATCATTAAAAACCGTTTGAACATCTTGAAAAACCTAATATTAAATAGATATAAATATATTATGATATGATATTTAAATGATTCAAACCTTATCAACTTCATTAGAAGCATCAATATGTTTAACTAGATTCTCTTTTTCGTAGAGTTGAATTACCGGTCGTGTTGAATCATTGTATGTTACAATACTAAAGTTTTCAGAAATGAAAATTTTTTTAAATTTACTAATCATTTTTTTACCGTTTCTTTAAACTTTCTTCGTTATCATCGGTACGTCCACTTCCTTTACCACGTTCAAGACAACGTGCAACACAAGTCTATAAAATAGATTAAAACAATTTAGTAAAGACATTAGAAAAAAAAAGATTTAATAATATTAACCTTTTCATCACAATCAAAAAAGAGTACACATTGTATATTAGCTTTGCCATCCATAGCTTGTTTCCATCCGTCAACATTATCTTTATTACGAGGAAATCCATCAATTAAAAAGTTTTCTTTACCATTTTTTGTCATAGCCTTTAGAAAAATTTAGAAAGAAAATCTTATATTATTAATTGTGATAATAATATATAATTAGTATACATTTTCAAGTAGTTTACAAGTTACTGCAACAGGTACAATTGAACCATTCTTGATATGTTCATTGATTTCTTTACCTAAAGCTGAATCAGGTTTGGCTGCTTCTTCTCGAAGGAGATCACCAGCCGATAAATGAACATAACCATATTTCTATAAAGAATTAAAAAAAAGTAGTTTTACTCTAGTGGAATTCTTGTAGCAAAAGTGACTAACCTCAGCAATACGAGCACATTGTGTGCCTTTGCCTAAATAAAATAATATTAAAAAAAATCAATCTTCTATTGAAATCTTACCAGCTCCAGGTCCACCTAAAACAAAAATCACATTTGGCTTTGTTGATGCCATGATAATTCCTTTGTATCTATAAAAAAAAAATAATTATAGTCATTTTTTCACAAAGATTTTTTGGACAATTATATCATCACAGTAACAATAGATAAACAAAAGAAAATATTAGATTAAAATAATAAAATAAATAATTTCAAATATCATATAAAAAAAAGAAAATTTCAATGTTGTTGCATGTATTTATCAATTAACATTTTCAAAACTTTATTTGAATAGAGTTGTGTTTTCTTAATCGATACATTCATCATTGGACTTGTTTGTTTGTTTGCTAACCATTCTTCAATAGCTTTTCTTTCATATGTATAACCATCGGATATACATACTGGATCTACCATTAATTCATGTGTTATTGGACATAAAAATTCATTTGGTATTGCTGATTCATTATTTTCATCGGATTTTATATTTTGATTTGTTTTTTTCGTTGAAGTTTTTTTCACAAAATGTGTATGTCTTAATGCACTAAGTTCATTTAATAATTTTACATTATTATTAAATAATGCTAATATTTCATTATCAGATTTTAATAATAAATCATTTCCAGTTAAATTTAAATTCGTCTTTATATTAAATTGTTCAAGCCATTGTTGAACCATTTCAATTGTCCATTGATCAATTGGGTTTAATTTTAATTCTCGATTTTTAGATTTCTTATGTTTTTCTTCATTATTATCATTTTCATTCTCCTTATAATCAACTTTCCATATATTTACCATTCGATCATTTGAACCTGATGCTAAATACTGACCATCTAATGAAAAAGAGCAACATGTTACATAGCGTGCATGTGCCTCAAATTGATGTATGCAATGTCCTGTATCATAATTCCATATAATAATTGTTTTATCACCAGAACCACTTGCTAAATAATCTTTTATACCAAATGATACACACATAACAGCACAAGTATGTTTTTTTAATGTTCTTATATTTGTTAAATTTTGTTTTGCTGATGAACAATGCCAAATTTTAACATTATTATCATTACCACCAGAAGCTATTACATGAAGTGAATGATGATGATGATGATTTTCAGTTGAAAAAGGAACATGAATATCTATACATGTTACACCTAAATCATGTGCTTCACGTTCAAAATGAACAGGACCAGTAAAGGAAGAATTAATAACCCAAATTTTAAGATCACCAGAAAATGAACCAGATATAAGTAAATTTGAGAAAAATCTTAATGCAACAATTGATCCAGAATGACCAGCTAATGTTTTAAGTGGTCGTGATGATGAAGCAGTTATATCCCATATATTAATTAATTCATCATCACCAGCTAAAAATAAAAAAATAAAGATATTTCTTTTCTAATTAAAAGACAAAATTGAACCTGTTGCTAATAAAACTCCATCCGATGAAAACTGACAGACACGAATAGGAGAATCACTATCATGCTTATATTCTTTTAATACACTATTAGTAGTTAAATCCCATAAAAGACAAGTTCCATCCGTAGAAACTGAAGCCATATATTTAGTTGTTGAATCTTGATTATCATCAAGAATTGGTGAAAAAGCAAGACAGTGTACTTGATATGTATGCCGTGTTAATGCTTTTGATGTTAGATAAGTCAAGTCCCATAATCGAATTGTTTTATCAGATGAACATGATGCAAGTAATGGTGTATCTGCATGTGTAGGTGAAAAAATAACAGAATTAACATCTGATGTATGACCACGTAATGTATGAGCAAGTCGAATGGATAACAAAGGTGTAGCGTCACTATCATTCGTCATTTGAAAACAATTGATAAATGACAAAAAAAACTTATTTTTTATATGATAAATTTAAGTACAAAACAGCAAATAAAGAGTCATGATGAATAACAAACATATTGCTATAGATGACGAACAAGAGTCTTTAAAGTCAAGCAACAGCAACGACAATCAACTTGAGAAAGAAAAAGACCAATTGAAATGAGGCACATTCTAAATATAAAATATTAAACAAAAGCGCCCTCTAATGAATAAATATATGTGTCGTATGTTTGTTTTTTACACTGTAAATCTTCTAATTATAATAATAGTGTTGAATGTTGATACTAGTATTTTGTATAGTATTTTGATAAAATCTGATATTTATCATACGAAGAATACTAATGAATTCATAACTTTTTATATCGTTTCTATTAAACTTAATTATAAAATATTTATTTCATGCGAAAAGCTTTTTTATTTTATTTACACAATCAACTATATTTGACAAGACTCCGTGTTTTATTTCTTTCTTGATAAAACTCTTTCAGTTACACTTAATATTTTAAAATATGAATGAGAATTGATTCAGTTGCATAATTTATCGAGTTACATATACATGATAAGATTAAACAAAAACAACAGCTTCTCTCTTTCTCATCTTGATTTGAAGTTCAATTATATGTCTTGATAATTTGTTCGAGCTATACATATAATTATATTAGAAGAATATTATCAATACTTATTATTTCCAAAAATAAATTACATATTAGTTCATGAAATTTATTAATAATGTCTCTAATTTAGTACAAACTAAATAATTTGTAGGAACACATATAAAGTTTAAATTCATCTTCTCCTAAATATTTAAATTTATCTATTCTGATTTACTTAGTAAATCTTCTAAAATATTCTCATAAAACATATTCATCATTAACGTCAAATGATCAAATATTATTACAAAAGATAACGGATGCCTATGAACAACTATCAATATTTTGACGAATGGGATAAATTATGTTCATTTAGAAGATATAAGAACATTTTATAGAATTTGTTTTAGAGTTTATTTTCCACATATATCTGTATATGAGAACGATTTCGTCAACAAACAATATGTTTTTGTATGATGTTTATATGAATCGATTTCGAAATAAGAAATCAAATCGTGACTGACAACATATAATTAATTTCATTTGAATTCTTTGTTTTTTATTTCAATATATTTGCTTGAACTTGATATAAACGCTATTGAGTAATTCACAGAAATGTTGAAATTATCCTAGTTCTCTCATTTACTCTAATAAAGCATAGAAAGAGGCTCCATAGTTTGAGAGTGTGGGTACAACGATGAGGGTAGCACATTTATACATCAATCTCATCTACACTTCACACCCTTCTTTTTGCCTACAGTCACACTGTTTAAAACGAAAATAAATAATAGCAAAACAAATAAAAGAAACACAACACCTAGTGATCAACCAATATATGAAGATTTGTTTAATCATTTTTATTTTTCACGCAACTAACTACTGAAATCATCAAAATTTTTAGGCATAAAATGGGAGTTTGATACAAACGCTTTTATCTCAATTATGAAAATTTACTTCTTTTTAGTGGAGAAAAGGCTTTAAAGATTTTTCACGTATGTTTTTTGTAGTCGCTGCATAGATCTATCCTTTTTGAAGCTAGAAGTGTGTTTTGTTCAGAATTACGTACTAAAAATAAAATGAATCGATGGTGTACTGTAGAAACCTTTGATATGACGTATAAGCTATATATAATATTTCTTTTACGTAAATGTTCGTACGTCATGCTTTGACGTCAAAGAGAAAACAAATGAATACATGTATAATAATTCAAGGAGAGCGGATGAGTCGATGGGCGTTGTATAATAGCTCGTGTTTATACGCCTCTTCATGAATAATCTAATGACGCACCTCTTATATGTACAACAAGCATATAAATACGACGATTAAACCTTCTCGATAATAATATTCTTATTTCATTCGACGATTATTAAACAAATATCAATACACAATGTCTCATCCATTTCTTGATGCAGGATTAGGCGGTCTTGCTGGTTATGAAATTGGACGTCATACTGGCTTTGGTAGTCCACTTATTGATGCAGGACTAGGTGCTTTCGCCGGCTATGAACTTGGAAATTATTTTGGTGGTGGTGGTTTCGGTGGTGATCCATATGGCGGAGGATTTGGTGGTGGATATGGAAATTCATATGGATATGGTGGTGGATATTGGTAATATGTTCATCATCATTTGTACATCTTTTAAGATAAAAACAATATAACTGTTTACTCATTTTTCTGTAATATAATATTTAAAATAAATAATGCTAGTCGAACATAACTTATTTGATCTGAAACTGAAGGTTTTGAAAGTTCGTTAACTATTTAGAGGATGTGGCATGCCGGTATGAATAGATAACATCCACATCCATACCCTCTTGTTAAACGTGTTCTTAAGAAAATAACTATTCAAAAATATTTAATATCAGTTTTAAAATCAATAGAAATAATTATTTATTTATTTGAAAGGTCTTATTAAAATTTAAAGAAAAAGCAAAGAATAAATTATCAGTAATATTTGTATCGTAACTTGTTATATTCGATGATAATATTGTTTTACGGTGAATTAATAAAATAGGTAATGCAAGAGTTTAAATAAGAGTTTCTATTAGAAAAATATTATTGAATATAAAATATACGCTACATTTGTTGTTTCTGATGAATTTGATAAGGGTTTTAAAAAAAAATTTCACTTGAAATCTAAAATATTTTTTATTATTTAGTCATTTTAATCTATCTAATAAATGGAAAGGAGAATATGATTATTTTATTAAATATTTTCAATCCTCTTTATAATCAATTGAATATATTTCCAAAAAAAAGAAAATGAACATTTACTTTCTTTCTTTCTCTATTTTTCAAAATGCATTATAATTGATAAATAATAAAGCATAAAGTTTAAATATTTTATTTTATAAAAGGAATCTATGTCAAAGATATTTGAAATATTCTATAATTTTATTAAAGTTGACAAATCAATTTGAGAATATAAATATAAGGTAATAAAGCCAATTAATGTACATTGTTAATGTTGAGTGTGTGTGTGTAGTTGAATTAATTAAATTCATCTATATGTTCGCATCGAACTATTTATTAAAAATAAAAATATAATTTGTTTTTATTCTAATATAGAAATAAACGATTTCGTTATACTGACTGTATCGAGGGTGTAGGTATGATTGATAACGAAGTGAATATCCACACCTGACCTTTTTTCTTCATTACCACCGAGAAAACTGAACGGCAAGTTGAAATTGTATAAGTGGCTAAAAGTTGTTCCTAGTTGCCAAAACTAAATAAGCGATTTTGTATAAAATGAAATTCTGCATTGGATGGTACGTCTCTCAACATTTTTGGAAAACTTTCTTGGTTGGAAAATTCGAAAAGCGATTTTTTTTAAGGTTAAAACTCAATTTTTTAATGAGAAAAGCTGAACTGTTACAAAATAAATATCAGATTCATAACCAGCGTTAAAAATTGCCTCTAGTAGCTTGTTCAAATCTGCTCAAATCGAAAAACAATTTTCTCAAAACTTGTTCGGTGAAGTTCCGCTTTACGTAAACAAGCCGCAATACTCTTTCAGTTACTTATAGCTCGAACATTTGCTCAAGATAATTCAATAAATACATAGATATTTACATATGATAAAAGTATTTTCATTATTTTATTGTACAAAGATTAAGACAAATAGAATGTCGTACAATAAGAATCTTTACAATTGGGAGAAAACAGATTTTTCAGTATTGAATACGTGATACCATCTTCAAAAAGCTTTTGAGCAGTAATTTCTGAAACAGTGAATAACTAGTCAATCATAGGAAAACTTCTTTTTATATTCAGAGTGTAGGTGTGGATACAAGACGAGAATAGACATTCATACCCGTCCATATCCAACCATACCCACTCTTTCTTAAAACTTCATCGTATTCAATATGATGAAATAAATAGAGATTCATGATTATAAAGATAATTTATTAGTTAAGAAATAAAAATGAGATGTTAGTATGAAGTAGAATAATACGACATTAGTACGTATATAAGGATAAAAATAAAAAGTATAGTTAGTTGAGAAAAGAAAGTGTTTATATTGTTCAGTTAAAATTTGATTTCAGATGACAGATATATCTGTTTTTGTTTTCTTTCGAAATACAACTCGCCAATATTGTGAACGTCCTTGTCTCATGTCTTCATAAATTTGAGTACCAGGTAATCCAGCAAACCGACGAAAATATTCTTGTTCTTCAGATTGAATATAACGTTGAATGAAATCAGTACGAGATAGATTTTGAATGTCAAGTGCATGAAGAACATTCTTTGTAACATTAATCTTTTCTTCAATAATTAATTCATCACTTGCTATCAGGTCATAAACTGATGTACCTGATCCATTTATGTAACAAAAATCACACCATAGAAGGTATCCATTTGGACGAAGTATACGAACGACTTCATTGGCAATCTGCGTGATTGCTATTGGTTCGCCAAAAGTATGTGTTGCTTGAATACAAAGAATAGTATCAGTTGACTCATTTTCAAATAGTAAATGTTTTGTTGCATCAGCTACTACGAAAGAAAGTCGAGGAACTGTCGAATAAAGTCGTTGACATAAGTTAATGACATCTTGAGAAGGATCTATTCCAATATAAGAGTGAGATGCATTAGTATGAACACATCATGCAGCGCCAGCACCTCTACCACAATTAATTTCAAGGACATCCTTATCTGTTAATGTCACATTTGCAAGAACCTAGAAAATAAAATAAAATATTTCATTCATGGCTTGTATATCGGAAAAGTCATAGAATTTTCGATTTTTCTTTTTATATCAACTGTTATCCATTCTTTATTTGTGATATAGTAATAAGTTTTATCAAAGCTGCTATCAAAAGTTGTTTTATTTGAATTTCAAGATATGAAATCTATTCATATTCTTTTTCTAGCATAGTGTATTATGATCTTATCAGTATTAATCAAATGCACATAGAATCATTTGAACTTTCTTAATCTTGAAAACATTAATATTTCAAGATGTTTAGTCAGATTTTATTCATTGAAGCGACGAATGAATATTTATGAAATAATTCATCTTCATTGTAGTTTGTATTTTTATACATGTACAAAAGATAACTAGAGCATTCGGATAAATATTCTTTATATCAGACAACTGAGCTTATGTGTAAACATGCTGTGGGCGTTGAAATCAAGTTAAACTACTGTAAGCCATCATCTGCTGCTAAGGGTATTACAATTGGTGAAAAATGACGTCATGGTTGGCCACCAAATACCAAGAAAGCACTACTGATTCAAAGATTATGTATTACTTATCAATCAATCAATCAATAGCTTTTTACTCAATCAAAGTTAAGGATAACAATCAGAATTGAAGATAACAAAGTTAAAGATAACATTGATGGAAGCACTTCAGCCGTTTGTTCGTGGACGCCAGTTGGATTCACTCGGCTGAGTCATTGCATATTTGGTTTCGTCCGTGCGGATTGCAAGCCCTGGCGGACTATCCTATGTATTACTTACCAATATACTATTTTACTGAAATAAATGATGATATACTGAACAAGAAAAAATTACTGGTTTAGCAAAAAATAATTGAATACTGAGTTTTCTAGAATTGTTTACTGTGCAATTCGAATTATATACTACGCACAAAATAATATTTCACTGAGCAAAACATACTGAACATGAGATGGAAAAAGTACTGAGCATTCTCAATAAAATACGGTGCAAAAATATATGTCTTTTTTTAATTAAAATTTAATAGTAATCAGAAAGATAATGATACTATGAACACGTTAAAATCAGAATGAATAGTAGTTCTTTAATATTAAGTGATACAGTGCACGTATTTCATTTATTTCTATTTAATCTTGTTTATGATGTTTCAGGAGTGATAATACCAATATTTATTAGATTTTGAATGAGAATCAAAAATAACTAACAAAAAATAAGATAATTTAGGAGAATCAAACTAAAATGATTATTGTCTGTTCAAGAAACGTATATATTCATGATTTTAAAATAATACATTTAACAGTAAATAAAACTAAAATAAATTGAAAATTTTCTTTCTTTTTTTGTAGGTTAATTGATTACTAGTTTATCGTATTTATTCTCTTTGTTATTTATTTTAATACACTTGCTACATAATTGCACATGTTGAGAATTTGCTTTTCATTAAATACCCAAGAGAAATGGCCATCGTCATACATTTGAAATAACTGGATATATTCATGATTCACTAGTGTGTCAAGATTATTAAATGATGTATTGGTGTAGTATGAAAATAGTTCTAACTGATTATCCAATGTCAAGTTGTCATCCACCTTGTTAGCTTTAAACAATAGAATGTTTGTATTTCTGTTGGTTATATTTAATCCAAATGGTTCATTGTCGATCACCGGTAAATAAGAATAATTTATTGTATCGACGATGTCTACTTTATCTAGTTTGCCAATTTCAAAAGAAGCCTTGCGTGCATTAAAGAATGAGTCGATCATAAAAATATTACCAACTTTCTCACCAGCATTAATCAATTGGCGAGAAAGTTCAAACGATAAAACACCGCCAAAACTCCAGCCTAGAAAGTTATATGGACCATCATGTTGGATTTCTTTTATATACTTTATGTATACAGGAGCCAATGCCTCAAACGAGAAGCTTTTTCCCATATTTTTTGCTTGAAGATCAAGATAGTAGTTGTTGAATATTACCAGTTTATATTGGGATAAATAAGGCACAATGTTATTGAAGTAGCTTTCGGCGCCACCGTTACCAGGCGGCAAAATGAACAAAACATTATCACAACTTTCATTGATCACAACAAACGGATGCTCGAAAAAATTCGAATAGGTAGTAATTTCATGTAAAATTTGAACTTGTTCATCGAGAATGATGCCCTCCTGAGTAAAAGAAGTAATGTCTGTAAGAGAAATCAGTGGGTTTATATATTCGATGGATGTTTCTTAATTTAAAAATGTTTTACCTTGATTGATATGTAGTGTGTGCCATCGTGTTGTCTGTGTATCATTGGATGGAAGTGTCAGAAGTAGTTGTGCATGTTGTCGAATAGTTGGTTGCTGAAGAAAGGGACCAATTGAGAGTGAATGAGTATCAAAGTTAAATGCTGATTGATAATGATGATAAAGTTCAATAAATAAAAGTGAATGACCACCAACACTAAAAAAACTGGTAGTTCTAGAAATGTAATTTTCATTACAATGAAGAACTTCACACCAAATAGTGTGTATACGTTCTTCGAACTGATTAAGAGGAGTATCAGACTTATCGGATGATAATAAAGTCGATAATGAAAAGTCGGGTGAAGGAAGTTGTTTTCTGTCTACTTTTCCATTTTGATTCAAAGGTAATTTATCAAGTATGATAAAGAGAGATGGAATCATATGTGGTGGAAGATGAGATTGACAATGTTCACGCAATTCCTGTTCATTAACATTACAACTTTGAACATAAGCAACTAAATAATCATCATTCCATTTCATAACAACACAAGCAGAGGTGGATGTGATGTTGAGGAGACATCGTTCGATTTCACCAAGTTCAATTCTTTGCCCATGTAATTTGATTTGATGATCTTTTCTTCCTTGATAATGAAGAAGACCATTGTTATCGATTGTAACAAGATCACCTGTTCGATAAAACAATTCACCATCTACTTCAAGAACAGCTTTTGCAGTTAAGTCATTACGATCAAGATAACCAGCAAACACACCCACGCCTCCCACTAACAGTTCTCCTTCTTCCTGAATCACAACAGATTGCAAAAAGCTGTTTAGAGGTAAGCATATGTAACGAGGCAGTGGTTTGCCAATTGGAAGATCATACATGTGAGAGACTACATCAATTAGGTGACATGTAGTTCCAAGTGTGGCTTCCGCAGGACCGTACGAATTCCAAATGTGACAGGATTGTGCAGCAAACTGCATCAGTCCCTGGCTGAAAACTGATGATACAGATTCACCTACGTTGATAAATTAATCAATATTCATTTTATTTCGCATGCTCTTAGTCAACTTACCGACGCAGCAAATATTTCTCATTAGTATCCATGGAGGAAGTCTATTTTGTTTGAGAAAGTCACATAAATGATTGAGATAAGTCGGAACCGCGATCAAATACGTCACTTGTTTGTCATGTAAAACATGATTGATATATTGAAAATCCATATTACCTTGTGGATGTAGCATGACTATTGTTGCTCCACAGATCAGAGATCCTACAGTTTCCTGTACATGCGCGTCAAACGTTGAGCTAGCTATTTGAATTACAATGTCATTTTCATGTAGTGTATTCATCCGAATCAAAGCTAGTGTTGAATTAATAAAGTTCTTATGTCGAACTTGAACCTATCAAATAGCATG